GCTGAAGGCCCAGGTTTCAAGTTCAAACTGTCAGTCTGGGCCTGTGACCTTAGTTATACCAATGTCTCCCTCATGGAGTTTCTTGATTTGAGGACAGTAAAGAGCTGTGTTGTAAAGATGTGGCAAGGACCCAATGAAATGCTAAATGAAGCCCTGTGTTAGTTTAATTGTTTCCACCATCTTGAAAAATCTTAATGACGGTCAAAGGAAGAGACCTGGGTTTCCATTTTGCCCTAGGCCTCAGCAAATTATGGATCTGGTCTAACCTGTATGTGTACAGCCAAATCTATATTTAACCTCCCTGGGTGTCACAGTCTGTAATGAAGTGAATTGAACTGTTAGGAAAGAAATTGTTAGGGAAATCTTCAAGCCTTCCTTTACTTCACACCAGCACAATCTGACAAGAAGTTTAAAGGAGATGTGAATCCTCCTCAGCTAAACAACCTTCCATCTGGCTTCCTGCACATCCCGCTTTTCTGGTTTTCTGCCCCTTGGCTGTTCCCGTGGCCCTGCTCTCCCTCTGGGGCAGCACTTTCAAACTAAAGTGTTCATCTTCCCCACAAAAGTCTTCCCTTCTGGTACTGACAACTCCATCCTTCCAGCCATTCAGATCCAAACTCTTTTATAAATCTTTTTTTGTGTGTGTGTGTGTGTGTGTGTTTGAGACAGGGTTTCTCTGTGTAGCTTGGCTGTCCTGGACTCGCTTTATAGACCAGGCTGGCCTCGAATTCACAGAGCTCTGTCTGCCTCTGTCTCTGGGGTGCTGGGATCACAGCTGTGGGCCACTGTGCCTGGCTCAGATCCAAACAATGCCTTTGGCATTTTCAACCTGAATCCCGTAAATTAACACAGACCACCTGTGTTATTTTCATCATCACCACTGATGTCCAAACGGTGATCGCCTCTCACTTGGATTACTGCAATGGCCTTCTGACTGGTCTCCCTGTTTCCCCTCCTTCCCAACCCACACAGTAGCCAGAACCATCCTTTAAAGACAGGAGTCAAACTGTGTTAGTCCTCTGATCAGACCTTCCGTGACTGTCTATGCCAGTAGGTGCCCTCAGAGCCCACCTCCTTCTCTCTCCTTTTCCTCAGGTCCTCAAGGCCTCTAGGTTGTCAGTACCCTGGCCCTTCTTCTATTTTGTTAGCCTGCCCAAGTCAAGCCTCCCACATTCCTTAGAGACACCAGCCACCATTGACTGTCCCTCTATTCTTAGTCTATCATTCCTGGCTATTACTGTCTTTGGATGTACTTATATTACTTGGTTTCTCTGTCTCTGTCTCTCTCTTTTCTCTTTCTCGAGATAGGGTTTCTCTGATAACAGCCCTGGCTGCCTGTCTTGGAACTCATGTGTACCACCACACACGGCTTCTGTCCCTCTTTTTTTTTTCTTTTTTTTTTTTTTAATCTATTTTGCTTTTTGGTATTTGAGACAGGGTATCTCTAAGTAGCCCTGGCTGTCCTTGAACTCACAGAGATCCCCCTCCTACTGCCTCCTGAGGGCTGGAATTAAAGGCGTGCGCCACCCTCCTTTTAAAAACTGTAAACTACATAATGCTATAAACAGGTCTCACTAGGAGCCCAGGCTCGCCTTACACTCTTCACCCTCCTACCTCAGCTTTCTGAGAGCTGAGCATTGATGAATGACAATAAAATGATTCTAAGAGCCACTGGTGGCACAGTTTTAAGTAAACCACAGCAGCCCAACATGCCTCATCCCAGGAAGCTGTCCTCACACATAGCCGTGAGCGCACTTATGGAGACGACTGGGGCCAAGCCTCCTTGAAGATCATGCTATGGGGTCAAACGGGTGGCTCACAATTGGTACCTGCCTGTCCTGTCAAGAGACTGCGGCTTAGAGGAGGGAAAACACACCTATGTACATCACCTCTAGAATAGGCAGCTTCTGTTAGACACATCTGGCCTGATAGGTAGAACGCTTAGCCTCTCACATTCTGGTAATAGAGCTAGACACAGAGGGGCTGTAAGTTAAGGGCTTGCAAAGTAGTAGCATGGCTATTTCTGTCCCCAGTTCCCGCTCTTGGCTGCTTATCACACCAGAGACACCTTGTCTGACTTCCAATCTAGACCCTCCACAGTGTCTCCACTGGTCCCCTCCACCCATCATCACCCTCAATTTGTTGTTGACTTGAGACCCCACCCTTCAGAGTGTCTCTTTACACTGCTTCTAGATACAAGGAAAGTGGGGCGGCGGCAAAGAATGGCCTTGGGGACTTGTCACAGGGCACAAAGGATGGAAGTTCTAGTTCCTTCCGATAAAGATTTGTGTCAATATGACTGGCGCTGTGACTCAGTAGAGTACTTGCCTGGCATTCACGGAGTCCTGGTTTCCATCCTCAGCACCACATGAGGTGGGCACGGTGGTGGCATTGGGAGGGAAGGCAGAAGGATCAGACATTCAAAACTCAGCAACAGATACATAGTGAGTCCAAGACCAACCTGGGGTACAAAAGACCCTGATTTTAACCAAGTATGTTTTCTGTCCTTTTTGAGGACGGAGAGCTCGGAGACTAGACTGCTCAGCTCAGAAGCCTGACAATTTTGCTCAGAAGGTAGCACAGACTGGAAATCCTGTTTGGCTGTGCTGCAGCCCTGAGCAGAAGTCAAGAGCTCCGGGGAGATCTGGTTTAGGAGTAGTTCTGCCGTCCCCTGAGGTGTTCTCAGAGTGATTCCATAACACTGTTTATCGAACTATTACCCAGCTATTAAGAATTAAAACATTCTAGGGCTGACATGGTGGCACATTACTTTAATCTCAGCACTAAGAAGGCAGAGGCAAGTGGAACTCTGTGAGTTCAAGGCCAGCCTGGTCTACATAATGAGATCCAGGACTATGTAGAGAGACCCTGTCTCAAAACACAAAAGAAACAAACAAACAACAACAACAACAAAAAACCTCAAAACAAAAAACCCACCCCATAACAGAAGTATCCAAAACAATGAAAACAACAATAAACCCAAAATAAAAACAAGCAAGCAAACAAACAAACAAAAAAAACCACAAAAAGCTCTGAACACTTAAAATGCTGGTCTAGATTATAAAACATATAGTTTTCAAAATTATATTGAAGTCTTTAATCATATATGAAAGCCCCCCAAAATTTAAGAGGTGGATTAGAAAGTCCCTGCTATATTCTCCAGTAGGGCCCTCTGACTTGTACTGCCCTTGGAGTTGACCTGAATTTTCAGCAGTTTACTTGCAAGAAAGGTTGAGGGGCTAAGAAACAGAATGAGGAATAAGTCTTGCTCATTTACAACACAGATACATTTTAACGGCAGGGACTTGGGTGTTTGCTATGTCATTCTCAACACTCTTCAGAATGTTTAAAAACTTATTACTCAGCTACTACGGTGATACACATACACAATCTTAGCAGTCAGGAGGTGAGACAGGGGGATGGTGAATTGAGGTCTGCCTGGGCTGTGCAAAAAGATCCTGTCTCAAGGCAAACAAGAAGAATCAGAAAGGGAACTAGAGTTTGGCAAGTGAAGTTAGTTTAACTTTGCTCTGAAGCTCATGTACCACCACCCTCAGCTGAGTGTGTTTTATGTGTATTACGTAATTTATGACACATGCCTATGACCTAGAGAAAGACATATAGTACATGTATACATAAAGAGAAGGTGGCAGAAGAGGGAGAGATTCTCAGGTAGCCCAGGCAGGCCCCTAACTCCATATGTAGCTGAGGATAACCTTGAACTTCTGACCCTTCTGCCTGTACCTTCCAAGTGCCAGGATGACAGTGTGTGTCGCTGTGCTGGCCCCATATTGTTATTAGCACTAATAAATCAGCTAACATTATTGAGGTGCAGCGTGTTAGAGGCCCATGGTCCCACCTGTCAATGTGCCCGGCATATGGAAGGTGTCTTACGGGGCTGAGAAGATTTGGCCCTCCCAGGGAATGCACAGTCAGTCCTCCTGTCTCCATGCTCCAGGTCTGCACTGGCTCTGGGCTAACTTGGACTAGGGTGGCTCTGGAGCGTAAACCTTTTTTCTCTCAGTCTGGCTCCAGAATACAATGGGCCCCGTGTCTCCTGACCTTGGCCTTCAGGTTCCCTCCTTGGCTGAGCCATGGTCCCCTGTGCCTACTCTCTTCATCAGTCTGCTTATCCACCGGAGATAGAACAGTTCCTTTGACTTCAGCTTCATTTCTGGAACATAATGCCATGTTTTTTTTTTTTTTTTTTTTTCACACAGAGAGCTCTTTCCAACTCCCCAACCCCTGCATTGGGAGAGTTAACAGTGGGTTTCACTAGTTAGTTTGGTGAACAACAGTGTATGTGTTTGAACGAGTCTAGTTAGGGTTTTGTGTCTATTTACTGTCTGTTCTAGGGTCGTAACAGCAAAGCTTGATGATAGTTTGCGACATGTTGAGGTGAAAAGAGCCACACCTAGGGAGATGACCCAACAGCTAACTCCGTGATCTTCACTTCCATAAGCAAAATGTATGAAATAGGCACAAGTGACTGCTTACTCATTTTGCAAATAGAAGCACAGGAAAGGGATGTGGGTTGCTCTGGGCTACTGAGTTGGTCAGAACCTAAACCCAGGGTTCTTCCTGTACTCAGCCACCTCCATTCATGAAAAAGCCATCACTTCAGCCACAGCCTCAAATGGCACGGCCTCCAGCCATTTCGTGTCCTAAAAAGGAATCCAGGCACATGCTGGCACATAGAACCACATGGCTGTGGGGCAGAAGGCTACATATGCCAGAATATCCTACAGCGGTTCGGTATATAAATAGCGAGCTTGCAGGGTGACAGGACCAGAGCCAGCTGTTTCCCCCTTTACACCTGTGCAGTGTGATAAAGAACGTGGAATTTGCCCGCAGCTGTGGTCTAACCAGATAAAACTTTTAGGCGGGAAGTGACAAGCAAACTTGATATTTTTTTTTTTAAGTGTTAGTTTTGATATTTTCAAAAGGCTTTTAGGCTGCTTGTGAAGTCAGAGCAAATACCAAGAAGGTGGTGTGGCGAGATGGATGAGGGGAAGGACCAATCTCATGGGACGTTCTACCAGACCTCTGAACCTCATCAATGGAAGTCCCAAGCTCCAGGTAATAACAGACCTTCAGAGTGGTAGCTGTTGGGGACACATTACCTCTCTCTCTCTCTAACTGATTGGGTACAGGCTGGATGAAAATTGGCAATGGGATCCATCCATGGGAAAATGGATTTTTACCCACTGAGCCACATTTTGGTGCTAAGAATGTAACAGTCTAGAGAAACTCATGGTGCAATAAACAGACTGTTCGTAAGAAATTCTCCTAAATGGCAGATAGTGAGAATGCCCAGTGCTGGGCAGCTGTGGCAAGAGGACTACACTCCTCCTGCTCTGTAGCAGAGCAAGTTGGCAGGACATTTGGAAGGATGTGCAGCAGGAACTCCACTAGGCCTGGCCTGTCTGAATGCTAACTCTTTTGGCTTCTAATTTATCTTAGGTCTGCTCTAAAGCAGAGTTTCTCAAACTGTTTTGTGGAACCCTGGGAGCTGGGACACCCTAGGACACAGTTTGAAAAACTTTTAGTTTCTGATGAACCTATAGACCCTTCCTCGGAATAAAAAAAAAAAAAATTTAAATAGATGGGATTACAAATGTCATCATTGTATTAAGATAGTTATCAACATTATTAAAATTGTGGTAAAGAGACATGTATGCTTATCTATGGAGGCATTGAGTCATAACACACATTAGTGTGTCTAATAAACATAGCATCAGGTCCAAAGGACCCATATCCACAGGTGACCACTGAAGCTATGTGCGTGAATTGTAGTGTCATATAGGAAAAAAATTTCTGTGATGTCTTTGAGTGATAAAGTGCTGCACTGCTAAAACCGCTGTGGCTTTTACTCACATTCATACTTTGAAGGAGATTGAAATTCAATTAAAAGTTGGTAAAAGTAAAAATTTTCCCCATCAAGAATCCCTGGGCTTGTGGCACACTCCTATAATCCTAGTACTCCAGGAGGCAGAGGCAGGTGGATCTTGTGAGTTTGAGGCCAGCCTGGTCTACAAAGTGAGTCCAGGACAGCCAAGGCTACACAGAGAAACAGTGTCTCAAAAAACTAAAAAAAAAAAAAAAAAAATCCATGGGCTGGGAACACAGGTAGCATAATGCTTACTTAGCATGTGTGAAGGCCGAGGTTTAATTCTCAGCACTACCAGAAAAAGAAGGAATGAAGGAAAGAAAGAAAGAGAGAAAGAAAGAAAGAAAGAAAGAAAATCCTAAGAGAAGTCCTACTCCAAACACACACACACACACACACACACACACACACACACACACACACACAC